GTTCGTAGCTTCTTTCCATGTGTTTCTTGTCATAGTTCTTTTTCATTCTTTCTTGAGTCTTTATTGTGTTGTTAATAACTAATTTTCTTGTTCTGTTTATTTTGTCTAAGTGATGTTTTATGTATTCATCATAATCATCTTTGTCAATGTCCACCGAGATATTCCTGTCGTCCAAAAGAGACGTGGGTTCTCTTCCAAACATCAGGAAAAAGGGAGAATATCCAGTGGTTTCCTGAATTGTAGTATTGTAAGCGTGAGTGATGAATGGGAGTATTTCGTCCCAATTTTTCTGATCAGTGTTCACATACATACTGAGCATATTGATCAATGTTCTATTTAACCGCTCTGTCAATCCATTAGTCTGGGGATGATAGCTCGTTGTGAAGCAATGTTTAATCTTGAACGTTTTCATCACCTCTTTCATTAAATTACTGGTAAATTGAGAGCCTCTGTCACTAATAAGATATTGTGGGGCTCCGTGCCGAAGAAAAATATCCTCTACTAGAAATTTAGAAACTTCTTTCACTGTTGCTTCCGAGACTGCTCTTGTTTCTGCATATCTAGTGTAGTAGTCCGTCAGCACGATTATCCATTTTTCCTGTTTTTCGTAGATGGTAGTGGACCAACAAAGTCAATTCCAATTCTTTCGAAAGGAAAGTTGGCTGGGGGGATGGGCTGTAGTAGTCCAGAAGGTAATTGGTTTGAGCCTTTCCTACTTTGGCAAAGGTGACACGTCTTAACGAATTCTGAGACATCCTTTAGCATGGATGGCCAAAAGTATTTACTCTTTATTCGGTACATGGTTCTGGCGACGCCCAGATGGCCATTCGACATATGATTGTGATATTCTTTCATAATTTCTCTCTTTTATTCTCTGGAACCACAAGCAACCACGCCCTGCCTTCAGGGTTCGGGTTTTTCTTAAAGAGGCATCCATCTTCTTCTTTAAAGTTTTGCGCAATTGATCGCCTGCTTCCATTAAGGTTTTTCTTAACACTTTCGATAAATTTATCCTCTTCGTCTGTTATTTGATTTAAAAATAGCCTTTCAAAATCCTCATCCCAATCAGTTTCTGGTAAGGGCCCCCTAGATAAGCCATCGGCGTCCAGATGCTTCTTTCCCGATTTATGTATTATATCGAAGTCATATTCTTGAATTTTCAATGCCCATCTTGCCAATCGACCTGTTGGATCCTTCAAGTTTTTGAGCCAGCATAAGGCGTGATGGTCTGTTACTATTTTAAAGTGTCTTCCATAAAGGTAGGGTCGTAATTTTGACATTGACCAGACAACGGCCAGACATTCTTTTTCAGTGGTTGAATAATTTTGCTCCGCTTTACTTAGGGTACGACTCAAATATGAGATCACCTTCTCTTCACCACCGATGTCTTGGACAAGTGTTGCACCTATGCCGATGTTGGACGCATCAGTATGAACATAGGTAGGTGCATTTGGATTGAAGTGACCTAAAATTGGTGGACTTAATAGTGCTGTTTTTAGGGTTTGAAACGCTTCCTCTTGTCTTTCTGTCCAGGTAAATGATACACTTTTTTTTATAAGGTTGGTCAAAGGGTCAGCAATTTTTGAAAAGTCTTTGATAAATTTTCTATAATATGAACACATTCCCAAAAAGGATTGTACTTCTTTGACCTTTTTGGGCCGAGGAAAATTTCTGACAGCTTTGATGTTATGTTCCGCGGGTTTTATACCATGTTTGCTCGTTATATAGCCGAGAATCTCCAATTCTTCAAAAGCAAATCGGCATTTTTTTGTCGTTTAACCTTAAATTAGATTCACGAAAACATCTAAAAACAGCTTCAAGTCTTTTGAGGTGCGTTGGAAAATCCGGGCTATATATGATAACATCATCCAGATAACACAAACAAATTTGCCATCTCAGATTTCCAAGCATATTCTCCATATTTCTCTCAAAGGTAGCAGGCGCGTTACAAAGTCCAAAAGGCATCACGTTGAATTCATATAATCCATGCGCTGTAGTGAAAGCTGTTTTCTCTTTGTCTCTTTCTTCGACTTCAACTTGCCAATATCCAGATCTGAGGTCTATTGCTGAGAAGTGTGTAGATCCTTGGAGAGTATCCATAACTTCGTCTATTCTAGGGATCGGATAGACATCTTTTACTGTCACATTATTCAGTTTTCTGTAGTCCACACAAAATCTGTATTTACCATCTCGCTTCTTGACCAATATTACTGGAAAAGACCAGGGGCTAGAAGATGGCCTGATTATGCCTTCTGTAAGCATCTCGTCAATTTGCTCTTTTATAATATCTCGTTCTTTAGCACTTACCCGGTAAGGCTTGTGTTTAATTGGCTTCGCGTCTTCTGTGTCTATCCGATGTTTTGCCAAATTGGTTCTCCCTAATCTCGATGAAAAAAGATCTCCATACCTTTCTAAAACTTGTTTTAACTCCTTCTGTTCCTTTGGTGAAAGATTTTCGTTTATTTGGAATCTAGGTTCTTCGTTCTTTTCTACCTCTCTTTCTCGACTCACATTTATTTTCGCTGGACTACTTCCAAAAGCCAATGTTTGGTTTTTCATTATTTTTAACGGTCGAGGATACGGATTAGTTATCCAGATGTGTGTTTCCCTATTTATAACATTGATCAAGCTTCTTGCTAGACGAAGTCCATTTGTTTGAAACATTTTGCTGCTCTCCTCGATAATATATTCTCCATCCTCTGTTTCTACCAATGCCTTGATCAATTTCATGGAACATTCCGGTACAATGGAATCCTTGGCACTCTTTATTTTCAACATTTCAAAATTGATTTCGTCATGATTATTCGTCAAATCATATTTTATAGTTTCTTGCTTACAATCTATTTTTGCGTTCATTTTCTTAAGGAAATCTCTTCCAAAAATTAATGTCCGTAAATGCGTTTTCAAAATCACAAATTTGTGCGATAATGCTTTGTCATCAATTTTTATATTTAACAATATACTTCCTACTATGTCTAATTTTTTTCCATCGGGTCCTGCACAAGTTTTTGCGAGTTTACTTATACCATGGCCTGTATCGAGGGCCGTTCTGAGGTCGACCACTGAGAGGTCAGCACCTGTATCAACCAAAGCTTCAAAAGTCCCTATCTTGTCCACATTAATTTTTAATTTGTATTTAGGGTCCAACTTCTTGATTCCGTTTATGGTCGACTTGCTTTGATTGACAGATTCAGGCGCGACGCTTAGTTTAAATCTTCCAACACGGAATATCTATTCCGGGTAGGAATATTTGTCTGTGTGCTATGACATACATCAGCATAAAGCCGAGGTCCTGATTTCTCTGATATTTCATTCATTTGGCATTTTTCTTCGACCTTCTCTTGGGTATCTGCTGGATCCTCTTCTAGGATTCTTATAAACTTGACCCTACAATAACGGGCCACGTGCCCTGGCTTGTTACCTTTAAAGCAGATTGGTCTTCCATCTTCCGTCCTATTTTTGCTCACTTCTTGGCTTTTATTGTAAGTGTTTCTCTGAAGGTTTGGTTTCGGTACAAAGTTAGGATTATAAGGACGTCTAGGGGTAGAGGGCTGGGGAAAGTTGTTTCGATACTGTCTGGGGGTAGGAGGGGAGTCGTTCTTGTAATTATTGGAAACAGGGGCTTGGGGCCTGGAAGTGGTCTGGTAGTTTCGTGCGGCAGTCGGCGGCACGTACCTCGATTGTTGTTGGGGTCTAGAATAGCGTGGACCGTTATATAGGTTTCTGGATTTCTCCACACGTTCCCGATACTTCTTTTCAAAAGAATCCATTTTCTTGCACACGACAAGAAGGTCATCGGTCGCTTTAGGAGGGTTCAGGTAGAGCGCGAATGAGTACTCTTTTTTCAGTCCTCCAATAACATGTTCAATTTTTGTTTCTTCTTCCATTGCGGGGTCAACCTTGTTGCACAACACTAGAATGTCTTCCGCGAACCTGATTGCTGGTTCATTCCAGTGTTGCATTCTGTTGAGCTTCATTCTAAGTTCTTCTTTATTCGCGTCCAAAGAAAAATCCTGAATGAGGCGGATTTTAATATTTTCCCAGCTCGTGAAACTAGCCTTGTGTAAATTCAACCAGGTTTTAGCGCTTCCCGTCATGTTCATGGCGGCATAACGAGAGATAATGTAGTCTGCCCAATGGTACAAGAAGCCAATTTCTTCAAGAGATTCAATCCATGGGCGAGGGTCTTCCGTTCCATCATACTTGGGGATGTCGATGTTGGGATTCAGGACAACTGGGTCGGAACTAGCATCTCTACCAATTGTTGCACCAGGTTGCGGCTTGGCAGACTCTTCAGCCTGGATTCTCTCCTGTGCTGGGTCTTGCATCTTACCAGAGCGTGTTTCAACCATCCTGCAAATTTATAAAAGGGAATAACGAGATAAGTCTTCTTTAAGTAGCCACCAGAATCCTTTATTTATTTTCTCACATCAAAGAGAGCAGTGAAGTCACGTGTACCTAAATACAAATGATGACAATCTAAATAATCTGTGTTTTAAATAAATATCATAGAATATAAAAATAAATAAATATATAATTTAAATTTCAAATATATTAAAAATAATATAAGAAATACGCCATTAATCATGATGTAACAATATTATATATAATATAAATGAGTTTTAAAAATTGTAAAAAAAAAAAAATGCATCGGCCGGGAATCGAACCCGGGCCGCCCGCGTGGCAGGCGAGCATTCTACCACTGAACCACCGATGCTTAAAAAAATGGCCATCGTCGCGACCAGTGCGGCGCCAAGCGTCAAAAGGCGGGAACTAATCCATTTCAGTTAAATAATTTAAAAAAAAAGTACATTAACCTTTGTAGATTTTTGAATAGCCTATATGTTAAACGAAATCTTCAGCTACCTACATGCGAAATTCCATAATGATTGAGTCAGTAGATTTTGCGTGATGCGATAACAAACATCGATTTCGCATTTCATTTTTATATATATAAGGAAGGATATAATATAAATGAGTTTTAAAAATTGTTAAAAAAATGCATCGGCCGGGAATCGAACCCTGGCCCCCCGCGTGGCAGGCGAGCATTCTACCACTGAACCACCGATGCTTTAAAAAAAATGGCCATATTTAGGTATTCATTCCATTCCGGATTAGTCCGCGTAAAAAAAAGTTCTTCAAATGAAAAAAAGAAATAGCCAAAAATACTAATCAAAATGCAGCCGAAAATTTTCCTCAGGTTTATAAAAAGCGACATGCAAAATTTGGTACCAATTGGTTCAGTAGTTTTTGAGTTTATCGCGAAACAGACAGACAGACAGAAATTGACCTTTATATATATATTAATAAAATGCAAATTTCATAAGTGTTGTTCGCTAAAAAATTTCGTTACAATGCATCAATTTCAACCAAATTTTCAACATTTATGTAAAACGAGATGGAGCAGGTTTTGCTAAACATCAAAATATATTTCCTAACATTAACATGCGTAACTTCGCTGTTATCGATTAAATACAAAAAAAATCAACAGAGTTAATTTTATTTATATATAAATACAAAAAAAAATTAAACAGAGGTAATTTTTTTACATACTAGCTAATAATCTCAATCTAAAAAAATATTCAAACAAGCAATTTTAAGATAACACCATATGTAAAACAGTCGGCCAAGAAAACAACAACGATATTACATCTTTCTCACATATTCACACACAATCTTGATTAATAATTAAAATTAATCTTTAACATTGTTTATTAAACTTCATAATATATAATATTCGTTAGGCAAACTTTCACTCGGATAAAACCCGGGCGAAGCCGGGTACACATCCGCTAGTATATAGAGATAATAGATTAAACTGGCGAAACCGCTGGGAGGGTTCACCACTGATGAGCCAGGCCCTCCCTTTAATTTTTCCATCGCAGTAAGGATAGTAGAAATTGTTTTATTTTGAAAAGAATATCACGCCTCTAAAATAGTTTTATAATTCATTTATATATATATAGATATAGCGTATGTGCCCGGCTTCGCCCGGGTTTTACCCGAGTGAATGTTTGTCTAGCGAACATTTGTTAAAACAATTCTCTAAAACCTTATTTAAAAAAAAAAAGATATATTTTGATAATTTGAAACTCGTAAATTTGAATCTCTCGATAAAGTGAACATTTTTTTCCCGGTCCCTGTGTGCCGTGTCATCCTGATTTTGTCTTTCCTAATTTTCTACATTAGAAAATCATAGTTTTATCTAGTGAACATTTTTTCCCGTGTCACATTGCCGTGTCACCTTGCCTTTATTCTTCATTGTTGGCTTTTTATATTATATTTACTCTTCATTGTTGGCTTTTTATCTTAAATTTATTCTTCATTGTTGGCTTTTTATATTACATTTACTCTTTATTGTTGGCTTTTTATCTTACATTCATTCTTCATTGTTGGCTTTTTATATCATATTTACTCTTCATTGTTGGCTTTTTATCTTACATTCATTCTTCATTGTTGGCTTTTTATATTACATTTACTATTCATTGTTGGCTTTTTATCTTACATTCACTCTTCATTGTTGGCTTTTTAACTTACATTCATTCTTCATTGTTGGCTTTTTATATTACATTCACTCTTCATTGTTGCCTTTTTATCTTACATTCATTCTTCATTGTTGGCTTTTTATATTACATTTACTCTTCATTGTTGGCTTTTTATCTTACATTCACTCTTCATTGTTGGCTTTTTATATTATATTTTTAGATTGAGATTATTAGCTAGTATGTAAAATATTAACTCTGTTGAAATTTAATTTTGTATTTATATATAAATAAAATTAACTCTGTTGATTTTTTTTTGTATTTAATCGATAACAGCGAAGTTACGCATGTTAATGTTAGGGAAAAATATTTTGATGTTAAGCAAAACCTGCTCCATCTCGTTTTACATAAATGTTGAAAATTTGGTCGAAATTGATGCATTGTAACGAAAGTTTTTAGTGATGTCCTCTTATGAAATTTGCATTTTATTAATATAGATGAAAAATAATTGAAAAACAAAAAAAATCTATATTAATAAAATGGAAATTTCATAAGTGGTGTTCGCTAAAAACTTTCGTTACAATGCATCAATTTCGACCAAATTTTCAACATTTATGTAAAACGAGATGGAGCAGGTTTTGCTTAACATCAAAATATTTTTCCTAACTTTAACATGAGTAACTTCGCTGTTATCGATTAAATACAAAAAAAAATCAACAGAGTTAATTTTATTTATATATAAATACAAAATTAAATTTCAACAGAGTTAATTTTTTTACATACTAGCTAATAATCTCAATCTAAAAATATAATCTATATTAATAAAATGCAAATTTCATAAGTGGTGTTCGCTAAAAACTTTCGTTACAATGCATCAATTTCAACCAAATTTTCAACATTTATGTAAAACGAGATGGAGCAGGTTTTGCTTAACATAAAAATATATTTCCTAACATTAACATGCGTAACTTCGCTGTTATCGATTAAATACAAAAAAATCAACAGTGTTAATTTTATCCCTATATATAGTCACGACCGTCATGGGCCGGTTCTGTCACGGATGCGCGCGCATCATCATTATGATCATTATCATTATCTAATGAAAATGATAATAATGATAATAATTATTATTATTATTATATTATTATTATTATCATCCATATATATAGTCACGACCGTCATGGGCCGGTTCTGTCACGGATGCGCGCGCAAGGGAGGTCACGTGCTCTCCGGCAGCCAATGGGCGCGCGCCGCCGGCATTACGTCATAGATTATAAACACAAGGTAATAAAGCCAAATAAAAAAATAGTGTGTGATAAGGCACAATTTGGATTATCTACTTATATAATTGCCTTATTCTGGTGTGTGAAGTTCACGGATAGATTTTGGTCAGAATGGATTAAAATAAAAAAAGTGTCAAGGGATGGGAATCGAACCCACGACCTTCCGCTTACCGGGCAGATGCCATGACCACTAGGCTACCCTGGACATATTTTCCCGTTCACATTTTTATTTTTATATTTTCAAGACACACACAGTTTGGGGCGGGAGGTTTCACAAAAGAGACATCCACGGCGCCAATTTATAATTGTAACGAATAGTATTTTAATTAAAACATTTTAAAAATATATACGCACTCGGGTAAAACCCGGGTGTTGCCCGGGCCATTCGTCTAGTTTATATATAAATACAAAATTGATTTTCAACAGAGTTAATTTTTTTACATACTAGCTAATAATCTCAATCTAAAAATATAATATAAAAAGCCAACAATGAAGAATGAATGTAAGATAAAAAGCCAACAATGAAGAGTAAATGTAATATAAAAAGCCAACAATGAAGAATGAATGTAAGATAAAAAGCCAACAATGAAGAGTGAATGTAATATAAAAAGCCAACAATAAAGAATGAATGTAAGATAAAAAGCCACCGGGAAGGTTTTTGAAAAATAATTTCATGAATATCTTGAATATCCTTAGAGTTATTTGCAGATTTGTAGATTTAACTCGCAAGCAGCGCCCCCATTGTGACGATGATAACAAGTTTTCTTATCACTAAGTTTGTTATCTTAAATATTATTTATCAAAAGTAAGATTATCTCAGGATGACACGGCAATTTATTTGAGACAAGAATAATGATACAATTCCAAGGCGAAGATACTATTCCTTTAACTTCCAATTACCGAGGGAACCAATTAATATTGATTTTATTGAACTTATCGAGTATTTTTCAAGGGACCATGAAAAAATGTTCACTAGATAAAACTATGATTTTCTAATGTAGAAAATTAGGAAAGACAAAATTCAGGATGACACGGCACACAGGGACCGGGAAAAAATGTTCACTTTATCGAGAGATTCAAATTTACGAGTTTCAAATTATCAAAATATATCTTTTTTTTTAAATAAGTTTTTAGAGAATTGTTTTAACAAATGTTCGCTAGACAAACCTTTACTCGGGTAAAACCCCGGGCGAAGCCGAGTACATTTTATAAGTTTATAGAGAATTGTTTTAACAAATGTTCGTTAGACAAACATTCACTCGGGTAAAACCCGGGCGAAGCCGGGCACATTCGCTAGTATAATAATATAAAAAGCCAACAATGAAGAGTGAATGTAAGATAAAAAGCCAACAATGAATAGTAAATGTAATATAAAAAGCCAACAATGAAGAATGAATGTAAGATAAAAAGCCAACAATGAAGGGTGAATGTAATATAAAAAGGCAACAATGAAGAATGAATGTAAGATAAAAAGCCAACAATGAAGAGTGAATGTAAGATAAAAAGCCAACAATGAATAGTGAATGTAATATAAAAAGCCAACAATGAAGAATGAATGTAAGATAAAAAGCCAACAAAGAAGAGTAAATCTACTTATATAATTGCCTTATTCTGTCTGTGTGAAGTTCACTGTGTGAAGTTCACAGATAGATTTTGGTCAGAATCCTTCCTTTCCTTTTATCTATAAAAATGAAATGCGAAATCGATGTTTGTTATCGCTTCAGGCAAAATCTACTGACTCAATCATTATGGAATTTCGCATGTAGGTAGCTGAAGATTTCGTTTAACATATAGGCTATTCAAAAAACTAAAAAGTTGATGTGCTTTTTTTTTAAATAAAAAAAACAAAAAGCGTTAGTTCCAGCCTTTTACCGCTTGGGCGCAGCACTGGTCGCGACGATAAATGAATTTGATTGCTTAATAATCAACACGTGGTTTGTTTACACGATTAATGTTAGTTTGTTCACACGATGAATGTTTTTTAAAAGGTAAGATTATCCAATCGCCGTGAAACTTTAGGAAGTTATTTACTATACTACTGGGAAAATTTCTGGTTTGAATTCGATTTGAAATAAATATTCTTTGCAATTTTATTTGCAAATTTTCTACTTTCACTCGCAAGCAGCGCCTCTAGCGGTTTCTGGTGAAATATATTTATAAATTGTAACAATGCTTAAAATGTTTTCCAAGTATAATAAATTTAATTTGAGAATTTAGTAATATTATTATCCAATGACGTAAAAATACTTGGCATTTCAATATTAATATATATTTAAAGAAAAATTTGTAACGTTTTTGTGTTGAAT